CTACTCGTCCATAGTGTAGGGTTGGGTGTTCACTCCACGACAAAACTGAAGCCGCTTTCTTTAAATGTATTCGGGATGTCATACGAAGGTGTCAAAAGAACAGATGTTAGAAAAACAGATGTCAGAAGAACAGATGTCAGAAGAACAGGTGTCAGAAGAACAGGTGTCTGAAGAACAGATGTCAGAAGAACAGATGTCAGAAGAACAGATGTCAGAAGAACAGATGTCAGAAGAACAGATAATTGCAGCTATCATTTCATCTGACAATTATTTGTAAATGTCAGAGTTGAACATCATCATCATCATCAGCATCATCATCAGCATCATTAGCATGCGATGAGTCGATAAACGTAGGCTGTCACGTTTCACAATCCTATGCGATCACCGCGATCATGGATTAGGTCAATCTTCTTGCCTCGCCCCAAACACAAGGCTCAGCTATCCACTTGTTTATCTCTTTGCCTTCCTTTTTTTTCACTTTGTTATTCAAACAATCTTGACATTTGTATCCACGTTCCCGAATCTATTCCTTTTCAAAACGTGCTGTACCAACATTGACTGTATGCTTCTAGCTGGCTGGTTGGTCTTCGAAAACATTTTTAAAAGTCCGCACTTTCAACCAGATCCTTTCGAAACAATTGTGTCTGTGTTTTCTTGTGCCAACTTTCATTGCAAAAATTGGGTTCACGTGCTAGATCTAATGACTTAGTTTTCCTATCTGTTTAATGTGGTGTCCTTTCCTGCTCGACCAGGTCTGGACACTGATGATGTTTAACTTCTAACTTTCCTAACCAGTCTACGGTTTTGATCTGCCACGAACAGAACTGCCGTGTCTGTTTATACTGTAATTCCGTGATATTGTTTGCAGCATTCTCAAAACTCGGCTTTGAGAATTTGTCAGATTATTGTCCATGTCTCACTAGTATAAAACAACGCAGACTCTATACCAGTGGTTCTCAACTTTCCTAATGCCGCAACCCTTGAAATCAGTTCTTCATGTTGTTGTGACCCCCAAACATAAAGAATTTTGGTTTCTACCTCAGTACTCCAGTGAATATTTGTTTTTCGATGGTCTTGGGCGACCCCTGTAAAAGGGTCGCTGGACCCCAATAACGATAACGCGTTTTTATTAAAAGCAAGTAAAAGTAAAGGTCTCTTTTCCACGTCTTTGGGCGTATAGGGCATACATAGCTAGACCTATATTTTTATAGACCAATCGGCACAATATGGCGTTTTTATTGGTTTGTAAATTAAATATCGCACTCTGGTATCTTTTTCACATTTCAGAATTAAACGTTGTTTACAATACCCAGTGGACATGTGGGCGTGAATTGCGAGGTGTTTTTTTTATAATCATTACAACGCAGTGTTCATTTGTGTTTGAGACCATATTTATGAACATAGCTCATGATGCCCGCACGGGAAACACAATTAGGGGTGAACACTATTCAATGCGCCTCTATCGATAAAATAAAGAAATATTGCTATTGGCCAATTATAACAAGTCAAAGTTAGGTTGCCAGGTATCTAAGCGTGCATCAGAGTGCATCATTAAACTATAGCACCAGTTGCAAGCAACTGGTTCAGTTGAAGACCGACTGAGCAGTGGACGACCCAGTGTGATAACAGCCGCGTAGACTCGCTTTATTCGGCTTCGTCACCTCAAAGCCAGATTTACAACAGCTTACTCAACTGCGCAGGCATTGCCTTAAAAACGTCATGTATCTGATCAAACTGTTGGGAACAGACTGGAAGATGTTAAACTTTCGGCACGATGACCACACCGAGGACCTGTCCTTACGCGTCGCCACCGCCAAAGTCGACCTTTTTAGGCCAACTAACATCGTTCCTGCGCAAGCGACAATAAATGGAGACGTGTCTAGTTCAGTGACGAATCTTTCTCCTTGTTGCAGCTTCATGACAGACGACAAGAGTCTACCGTAAGCGAAATGAAGTTTTCACCCTAACTGTGTTGCAAAGCTCTGCTGCACGGTGGTGGAAGTGTAATGGTGTTGGGAAATGATCAGTTACAACGGAACTCATCAACTGGTGTACACTGAAGGAAGCTTGATTACGCAACGATATGTCAATGAAATTCTTCGACCACATTTCCTTCCAGTTTGGGATACCACCATATATTTTTTTCAACAGGACAACGCCACATCCCATTCTCCACTGTTGACTACGCAGTTCCTGGCTGCAAGTGATATTCAACCCCTTCCTTTACCATACTTTTTTGCAAACATGAGTCCGATTGAGCACCTGTGGGATGAGCTGCAAAATCATGTTGTCGCCGAGACGTTGTTCCAGCCCATTGTCGTTCCAGGCACACCAGGAAGAGTGGACAGCCATCACACAGGCCCACATCAGACATCTGATTTCATCAATGCAGAAGAAATGCCAGTCTTAGACCCACGCAAGAAGAGGCACCACACTAACAGAAAAGACATTCGCTTAAAAATTATCGTGACCCAGATGTAGACACACATAAATTGTGTTCCTTTCTATAGCTATGCGTTTGTTGTGTTTTTTTTTTTTTTTTGGGGGGGGGGGGGAAATTTTTTGTACAGTATATATATATATATATATATATATATATATATATATATATATATATATATATATATATATATATATATATATATATATTAAAATCAATGTTTGTGTGTTTGTTTTCCCCCTATAGACTCGGAAACTACTGAACCGATTTAGCTGAAATTTTCAGGATATGTTTGTTTTGATACCGGATGTTAAACCATCATGGTTTGAAATTCAACCTGTCACTGTTAGAGATAGGTGACCACAATTTAAGCAAAAATATTCGAAACTAATATTTAAATTGTTAGTGACATCTAATTATAGCCACGTTAGTAATTGCGCACGCGCCGTAGTCAGAACGCAAGTCTTCCGCTATTCGCCGGCGAGTTACATGCAGCCAACGCCTTCTCTAATAACATAGAGTAGGTCGTGGTACAACAAACAAGACTAGCTCTATATTTGTGTAGGCAGTGATTGCCACAATAACCATATTAAACACGATTTCTATTTTCTGTTTTTTTTTTAAAACAACCTTCGATGGGAAGAGGGGAAGGGGGGCATCATGGACTATCTCGACGTCGGCGCAGACATTGACTGCGAGATTAACTTCATTAACCGTGTTAGACACGTGCGATTTCTATTGTTGTGCCGTTTCATTAATATATTTGGAGTATCTGTCTATGAGAAAACAATTGCCTGAGGTTTTGAGTTGTGTTATAATCAGACACAGTAGTAGTAGGGTCACACATCTCAATAGTTTAGCTCTCTTTTTGTTGATCCTAGGAAGTAGCTGCTTGGTCGAATGGTTACAACACTGGGTTCCTGTGCGGGAGACCAAGGTTCGAAACCGCAGTAGTAAAATTTTTTTTTTACCCCGGACTAAAATAATATCCTTATCTGCTCTGTCGTGGTGACAGCACTAGCCATGTTGCTTTTAATACTAAAAAAAAAAAAAAAGACAAGTAAATGGGTAAACTATTTGATAATTAAATTTGACTATTTCGCATACTTATGATTGCATTTTTAAACTTTCCGATTGCTTGGTTACGCTGAAATTTCATAGCTTTCCATTTTTTTTCATTTAGATTTAGTTATTTCATCTGCGTTGGAATTTTAAGCTGTGCTGTTTACCATAGCGTTCATTTCCTAATTATGGTTTTTTTTTCCCTGTTTTCATTTGCTTTTCAAGTGTTTTTTTTTTCTTCCAACTACTTCAATGAGGGAAAGAGTTGTCGTTGAATTTTTTTTTTTTTTTTTTTTTTTTGGGGGGGGGGGGGGGGGGGGGCAAACTGTTAACTGAGAGAGCTTTAAGTCACAGTAACTGCTTTACCCACTAAAAGTAGCAGCAGCAGTAATAGTTGTGGTTGGGCTGTTACAGCGTAGTGCTCTCATGTGAAGACCGCCGGTAAGGTTATGGCGTTCTTCTGTCGGGAAGCGAAATTATACATCCTAACCTGACCAGTCTGTGGCGACAGCACTAGCCATGCGGAACCAAATCTTCTGGCTCACGACTCTCTGTCTACTCCGATGGTAACACAGATAGCAGTGACATTATTTTAGCTACTGTGGTGTTGGTCGTAGTAGTTGTACTGGTACTTGAAGGATGATGTGGTAAATATTACACTAGCTCCATTCACTACCTATTACAATTCCTGCTCCCCATTTTAGTCCGGATGGACATGGATGTCAATGTCAGTTACAGAGGGGAGGGGAGGGGGTAATGACTTCAAGTTCTCATTACCTAATTTGTTTATATTTTACTAATGCTACCTCCGTTTTTCTATTTTTTACGACTTACATTGTTATTTACAAGTACAGTTGTAGCTTTACTACCGTCTCCTATAAAAAATACAAACAGCTTTAGCATGTGATAACCAAATAACCATTTTTGTTACTGTGCTAATAACACCATTTAAACGACCAATAATATAAAGACACAATTATGAGGTGCGTGTTCTAAAGCTGGAAAACCAGACTATCTGTATATCTGTCCAGAAAATGATTGCGACGTTAACTATATCAGACACGAGCGATTTCCATTGTCTTTCTTTTCCAAAAACCTTTGATGAGGGAGAGAGTAGTAGGTGGATTTAGTTGTGGTGGTGAGGGGGGGGGGGGGAGTAATCAAAGACTATCTCTTATCTGAGCAGACAATGATTGTATTAGACACGTGCGATTTCTATTTTCTTTCATTTCCATTTAGCCAAACTATGCCACAGCAACGCGTGGCCGGGTACAGCTAGTATATATATATATATATATATATATATATATATATATATATTGGACGCTGATTCTCTTTATCTACAAGATGTATCATCACAATATATTACGTTACTGATGCATTTTACATTACGTTAACCTAAGAAGTTATGTTTCTTACAGACAACACTACAAAAAGATGTACCATGGTTTGGGACAATATTCTGTGCTGGGATGCAGCGCCCGCCGGAACACTGCAGAAGCAGCTTTGTCCTGACTATATTAAAGGCTTCAACGTACATGGTAAGTAACATGAACTGTTCGTCTCCAATTTCTGTTCACACCTATATACATAAACGTCTTGAGTATCGGGATTTAGTCCTAGATGATAAGGGCAGTTGCCACAAACTGTGCAGGTTGTTATCTTTACTATGGACGTCAAATATTCATTTCGCCTCACGAGGATACGAACCATTATTTCTGAAATGAGAAATAAGTATTCTAATAACTCGGCTAGCATCTCCACTGGAAAAAAAATAAACAAAATGTACGAGAGATAATTCCTAACATCATAGCATAATGTGCAATATATATTTAATACACTGTGCTAAAGAAAAGAAGCTGTTGATACGTATTATTTCCCTCAGTGAATGTCAAGTGACTTCGGTGATGATGATAATAATGTGGTGCGTGATAATAGAGTACATGCAATGCTGTTTACATCAGAATGATGTCTGCATTTGATAACATTCATAATATTCTTATCTGCAATTTTATCGCAGCCGAGATTCAAATACCTAATGTAGAGTGCAGCAGTGACGTCAAAGGATTGGAATAATCTACAGAATATGTTAAGAGAGCTAGTGGATATAGGCTTCACGTCCAGGAAATATCAATAAAGAAAGAGGAAATACATCGTCTCCATTAGCAACTGTCACGCTAAAATGTATGCCGTGTTCCTTGACCGCAGACTTCAGGGAAAAAAAAGAAAAAGAAAAACGTTGACTCTTTTCAAACTTGAAAAACTTCCTTAGTAAGAAACAGCTTCTGGTGTCCTCTGTCAGTCTCAGGCAAGCCATTCTCTAGCTTCTTCTGTTATAATGATTTATTGCTAACAGTTATAAGAATCAAGGTCTAATAGGGCTCAGCAAATATTTTTTAGTCTAAAAATAGCGTCTTTCTATTAGAGTTAGGCTGCACTGCGTTAACTGTTGTCTTCGGGTTTGTTACTTATTAAGGCCCTCATCGTTTTCGGTGTGACTTTCGTATTACTACTTCAAAGTCACGAGAGCAATGGCAACTAAACCCTGACAAGTCAAAGATTCCTCTTTTTTTTTTCTTCGATCCCTTCCCGTTCATTACTGCATAGTATCCTTCTCCGCCCATTTCTGTCATCGGTTTTCTCTCTTCAGCTGGCCAATGCAAGTGTTTAAATGTCTGGTATGATTAATATACATGCAGACGTCGGGGATTGGAATGTGAAATAATTTCGCCAACTTCTAAGCTATGAGAGGAAAAAAAAAAAGATTTGACAAAACAGGAGGGACTGATTATATTTAACTACATGTGGAATAGTACACAATCATTTTGTTAAAAAAAAAAATAGCATGTTGGAGATCAATAATATGGTTGGTTGCTTGGTACTTTGGGAGTTACGAGTAATTGCTTTATGTGTTTGTTACAAAATATTACTACACTGAAATGTAATATTGTTTGTCATCTGTTTGTTTTATGATAGTTTTTGTATTTAGATTACATTAATCATAACAGAACGATATTTTAAAAGTGTCCCCATCAATGAATATCGTGACTGTCTGGAGAATTGGTTGATGCGAATTAAAATAACTATGAGGTCAATAAACACAGGTTACATTATACAGTACTTTTAAACAATGTCACAGTGAAGCCATAAAAACAACAAGATAGTACGAAAATGTTGATACTAGCATACACATTACATTGATGTTAAATTTTTAACAAAACATAACATCATTATTATTATCTCCATCATTCTATTGTGAGGTTTTCACCTGATATAGGGTTAGCAAACTACGCCTCTATTCCATTCTTGCCTAATTAACGTCCTCCTATGCGAGTTTCTGTGTAGGATTGTAAAACAAAAACGGGTGGCCAACGAGTCGATCAGGATCGATTGTTGTCATGCTTACAGCCTTTATGATTTGATTTCTATTTTACTTTTTTGGGTACTCTTTAATAGTTTATTTGTATAGTCTGTACAGCCCATCGCCAGTAATTTCTACATTGAAAAGTTGCCTGTCAGCCTAATAAGGTTGAGCCAGCCCTCCTTCTTTGTCATCTGAGACGAACCAGCAATAAATAAAGAGAAAATTTAATTACTTGTAAATGGAAATATTTTCAACTGTGGCTGGAAGGGTTGTGAACTCCGTTTTATATTCCTAAATGTCAGGGTTTGAAATGAACTGCTATCTGGGAGCACCTCAGATTTAGTTGATTTTCACTATGGTCTACTCAAGGAATGTTAAGTCCTGACTGTAAGGATAAACTGAACATTCTTCCGCTTTTTCACTGCCTCTGTTACCTTTTCGGGTGTCCAGGGAGACATCAGGTTCTGCCTCTGGCCTTTCTGGCCATAAACACATCGTGCTGTCGTGGGTTTTTCTGGTGTTATCTTTCCATCTATGCAACCACTTGTCACGTAACAGTGTCTTCAGGGTACATAGTCAGATGTTGACAATATCCATGCGCTCCTCAGTTGTGTGAAGCGCTTGCAGCCAACCAGGCCTTCACCTTGCCGAAGAGATGATAATGGCTCAATGCCAAGTCCAGTCCAAATTTCCTGCACCAGTACCTCACAGAACTGTTTCTTATTACTTTATCACCGTTCAGACGACACAGTCGACGATATCGGCTGCATTTTGACCTTCTGCTTGAAGAAAACGAATATTTATTCGTTCGGAGTTCGTGAATCGCCGAACAGATGCCACTGTAGGTTCATATCTAGTGAGCTAAAAAGACTACTGAATGATGCAAGCAATGAGCCGTGTCGCTAAGGCAAATGTTTTATTTTTACCAGCAAATCGGCGATTTAAAAAAAAAAAAAAACCATTGTTTATAGAACTGGCTATATTAATTTAGCAAATAACCACTGCAATTTTCTTCTTTTTCTCCTCCTTCTCCTCATCTTCCTCATAATGATGCTGAAGGCTGTAGACACCAGTGGATTGTTCATCAAAACGAAAAGGACAATACTATTTAAATGGGGCACGAGATTAGATGAGCTGGATATGCAGAAATATTTCACATCTGCCAGTCTACAAATAAATTATGTGAAGTGAAGAGAGCTCACACTTTTCCTCTATTTTCATTTACTTTTTACCAAATCTGTGGGCGCTAACACAAGTAGGCAATCAGAAAGATAAATGAAAATAAAGTAACTACAATGAGAAATGAAATCCCGCTCTTGACTTGAAACATTATTGCATATTAGAGGAAACAGAAGTGAACGTTAAGTCAGTGATGATTGTTGTATTATTTCTTGTGTCATCATACATTTCTCACAACAGCCTCTACATTACTGCCATACTTCAAGGACACTTAAAGTATGCCCTTCAGAAAATTTGTTTTGTTCATTCTCTATACGCATCTAACTCTTATGTGCTTCCTGCATTTAGTTTTCGAGCTGCATAATTTATATTGTACGTCGTTTGAAATGACATTTGGAGCTGCAATACGCTTATATGAATCCACTATGCCACTTTTTATAACACGACTTCCATGTTTAAGCTGACAGTGTGAGATCTAAGCCTATTCTTCCTCTAATAGCTAAAGAACAGCATGTGCTATATGCAGGAGGCAGGTTCGTATACTTTTGGTGAAGAAGAGGTACTGATAGAGACAGAATACTAACACGCAAGGTGTGACAGATGTTTTATTGTATCTAGAGAAAACACGGAGAACAACTAGAACAGTTACTAACAATCTAGAAACATTCATTAACCGGAGTCTGCGCAGATTAGATGGATTCAAATAACAGAGACTAATACATAATTTTGAGCCTTAGAAGAAACACAAATAAATTGCAATGTTTAAAAGGCATATATTAGACATACGTTGGGGAATCACACACACACACATACATACACACACACATGCATACCTAATAACGTTACAGTTAGAGCAGCATTACACTGGTATCCATGGGATCAAAGATACCACACACACTCACACACACACACACACACACGCAAATACACACCTAAAGGAAAAAGGAACTTGATAGTGAGGTAAAAGATTTTAGGTAAAGGGTTGAAGTGAACGAAATACAATAGCGAAGGATTGGACAACATGGCGTAGGTTGATTGAGGACAAAAGCTCCACAGGGGGATAAATGACAGAAGAAAAAAATGAAGACGAAGAAAAAGAGGAAGAAGAAAAATAAAAAAATAAAAAGAAAAGAAGATGAAGGAGGAGGAGGGGGAGAGGAGAAGAAGAAAAAGAAGGAAAAGAAGAAGATAAGGAGGAGGAGGAGAAGAAGAAGAAGAAGAAGAAGAAGAAGAAGAAGAAGAAGAAGAAGAAGAAGAAGAAGAAGAAGAAGAAGAAGAAGAAGAAGAAGAAGAAGAAGAAGAAGAAGAAGAAGAAGAAGAAGAAGAAGAAGAAGAAGAAGAAGAAGAAGAAGAAGAAGAAGAAGAAGAAGAAGAAAAAGCAAAAGAAGAAGAAAAAGAAATAGAAGGGAGAGGAAGAAGAAGAGGCGGAAAACTGGCGACTAAGAGGAGGAGAAGAAGAAAAACACATTTATTTGTGTACATAGCTTGATGTGTCTGATTAGATTTAGTGAGGACAAATTAATAGCATACGTATGTTAAGGATTACAGGATCAAGCAAAACAAATAAAAAAGGAATTCAGCACAACGCAGAATGCAGATTAGATATTTAAAAAAAATGTAAATATTACTAACAATCCATGGATAAGATATGCTTTCAATGAATGTCGGAGTAAACGGAAAACTACCACACAACAACAATTATTTGCTATCTTGGAAACACAATAACACATTCTTGTAAAAAAAAAGAAAGAAGTAATGTTCCCTTATTACGCCTAAGGTGCATCGGGTATATGGGCAGAGCGTCCCATACTTTTACAGACCAATCGGCACTGGATGGGTAATGTGGTCAGCATTACGCCGGTTGTCTTTACTTCCCCAGGACAGCCATCCTGATACCCATTTTAGACTGGGTCGACCTTCGACGCCCCATACTACGATACAAATCCACGCAGCCAGCAGTGGGTTTCGATTGCGGTACGTTGGATTACAGTCAGACTC